CCCCAAAACCCCAAAACCCCAAAACCCCGCAATGAAGGATTTATGGTCTGATTTAGGGTTAATGAAATAAGTAAATTAATTGAGAAATGGGATGTAAATGCTTTAAATCTTAAAACTAGCAGCATGTCACGGACCTAATGAAGACAAAAACTATTAAGGATTAGAGCATCAAGCTTAAGTATGAGAAATTAATTCAATCTGAGACCTAGCTTATCAAGAAAAAGATGAGTTGTGACTGTAAATTTCTGTGTATGATTGCTTATAGTGACATCTTAAGATTCATTTATAATCACTCCCAATTTTCAAACTAAATAATAGGTATGCTTGGAAATGTTTAAATGTATATTTTTAGTGGATTTAGGTATTGCGAGGGCAACTAAAGGAACAATCTAATGATGTGGAATGGGCGAAACAGCTTTATCAATATTTGAAAACAAGCTGTAAACGAAAAGAGATTCAGGAATAAACTTTGAAGTACTTCTCTGAATTTTATTGGACAAAATACAGAGGAGACTAGACAAATTCTTAGACCTAAGTCAAGTTTCAAAGATTCTACACGGATGATATCTCAGCAACGTCAATTACTAATCCCAATATCCTGAAATCAAGCATGAGTAAGTGCAGTTTGAAATTTCTGTGTAAAAATAATTCTATAATTTAGAGACTCAGAATGAATTAGAAAAGAATCTTAGATTCAGTATGCAATTATTGGAAGATGACGTAAATGATTCCTAAGATCTCAAGAATCAAAGATAAGTCTTGAAATCCTATAAAGATCTCTAGAGTGACGAAACTGGATAGGAAGCATTGTGCTTATCAAGAAAGTTTAATGAATGTGCATAGGTTATAAAAAGACATTTAGAGGATCCAGAAAATCCACTCTATAAAATTATAATAAAATTTGATTAGCTATTCTACCAGCAGTATAATGAGCTGATTCAAACTTCATTTGATAAAATCAACAACAACCAGGCACCTATTTTCAAAGCTGCGCCAATTGTATAGCAAGTTTAATCATTTGTCAAGACTATATTTCTAACCTTGCTAAAGTTTTACAGAATTGAATTGAAGCCTCAAGATTTAAAGAAGGATTTATTGATTAATCTTGTAACTACTATGGTCATGCAGAATCAGACTTACTCTATTATAATGAATGCTATTTTGTTTGAAAACGTGCATAGAATAAAGAAAATTCAGCAGAACATGACGAGATTCAAGCACCGAGTCAATCTTTAGAAATTGGGAGTGAACAAGTACTTTTAGTTTAGTCCATCCTTTAAGAAGCTGGTATAGACTGATGAGAACTAACATATTGATATAAAGAATGAAAATGAGTCTATTCAAATGAATATAGATTAATTAGTTGAAGAAAATAATTAAAATCACATAAATGGTATCGGCAACTTTGAGAAAAGATCATTGACAATTGATAAAAGAGTAAAAAGATCTTCAACTAAAGAGGCAAATAGGCCTTTTGAAAAGACAATTGAAGCATTCAAAGAAATACCAAAGCTTAACTCTCCAATGAAAAAATTAGAATTTATATACTAGGTCTTTAATTCTCTGATGGTAAGTGAGATTGATGAATTTTGGACTGATGTTTAAATTGACTCTAAAAAATTGCAGGTAGATTATGAGAACCTTAATGGCATTGCTATATATGTAGCTCTGAAGGCAGCAATACCTATTCTAATAATCGACATCATATTTATTGAAAACTTCGTAAGTCAAGCAGTGCTATTCACAAACAGAGCTTACCAGATGACAGTGCTTCATAGTGCTCTATCATTTATTGAGGATAATATGCCCTCATATTGTGAATCAAAAGAAAAAACTAATCCTTTAAAGGAAAACATGACGCCTTAGTTTGAGGAAACCGGCAGTTTACTTTTTTAAAACCCTCGAAGTCAAGGCTAGGAATCAGAGATAATGTCCAGATTGTTAGACAATGGAGGAGAGAATATATCTGATAAAAAAGAGCAAGGATCAAAGGAAAAGACTTATTAGAAAAGTGTATTAGAGGAGGAAATGCTCTTCGAATTAGAATAAGAAATGCTAAACATTAGTTTGGAAAGATATAACATCGCTTAAAGGTAATTTAGCACAAGACTTAAGGAAAGTCCTATATAATTGGTCCTCCAGAGTTTGCAGTAGTAGCAATTATTTACTCAATAAAATGATGATATGCATTTTGACGATAATTTAATGCTAGCTGAACAAAATAACATCAATAAGGCTAAGACTAGCATACATGTGGATGCCGCCAGGACAATCCACATGATGGTCAATCATAAATTGCACATGAATTCTGTGAAAAAGAGTGATAGTGTATACAATGAAAGTGAGAGCAATAATAACAACAAAAACAATAGTAAAAATAATGAGGAATTCAGCCATATTACCCACTCTCCATCCTCATAACTCTTAAAAAATTTCAACATATATTCTGAAAATGAAAAGCTTTTGGATGATTATTATTACAGTATCCAATAGATTAGAGATAATCACCTAGATGAACAAAAAGAGTTTAAGCATCACAGGGTTACAGCCAAATGGAATAATAATTAAAACAAGGATGCTCTGATCAATGAAATCAATAATCTTAAGGATAAATAGGTAGATATCAGACAGAACTCACTTAATAAATCGATTGATATGACTAAATCATAAATTACACTTTGACACAATTATTTTGCTTAAATATTTTCATTCGATTATATTTTTAATCTTTAATTCATAATTATTCCTTTGCTTAAATGCTCAAAGTGGGTTTTGGGGTTTTGGGG